GCTGTTGATACCATTCGCAAGCTTTTGCACTTGGCCATGGCGTTTGAGAAGCGCGATCGGCTGGCCGCGGCCCTCGCCGTGTACAACTGCACGAATCGCCTTCTTCCAGCAACCAGCACCAAGCTCAAAGCGCGTATTCACCGCCTCACAACCGAGCTGATGAGTGCGCGTCCCTTGGTGGTGGATCTCAAAGCACCGATCGAGACGACGCTGCAAGTACGTTGCGCTTGTCTTTGCGGCTTGTTGACGTGTGCTACGATAGACAATTATGACCAACGATGTGCTCGAGACGCTCAACTCGGGCTCCAAACCAGCGCTTTTGGAGCTGCAGGGCATTGGTGAGAAGCGTGCGGCAGAGATTTTGCGGGCCCGGCGCCTCGGGCCGCTCACCTCCGTGCACGATCTACGCCGGGCCGGCATGTCGACCAAGCACATTCAGAGTTTTATCGAGCTCAACGTCATATCACCAACCCGTCTCTAGTCATACTGCTGTTGGAAACGTTGTCTTCGGAGCCTATTTAATGTACTATTTCTTTCAGTACCCCGGTTCAACCAAGCACATTGAGAGCTTCTCCTTATAGTCGGATGTCATTTTTAGTGAAAAAACTTGCGGTCGTCAGTAGGTACGTCTCGACTCGGTCCGGGAATCGTCGTCAAAGATGATCCACGCTGCGTCTGGGAGCTCCTCGATGGCCTCTTCGATCGCGTCGTCGTCGTCAAACACGGTGTCGTAGACGTTGACGAACCCTTGGCGGTAGACACAGTCACCAAGAGCCGATATGATCGCGAGGACGCCTTCCTTTCGCAGCCGGTTGCCATGGAGGCATATGCGTGTCATGTGACACGTCTCCGGTATAATGTGGCTGATCGCAAGCGCGCCGTCGACATCAATGGTGTTGTACGACAGATTGATGGCGTCTAAATGGTGTACGATGGGGCAGAGCGCTTGGACACCTTTGTCGGTCACGAGATTCTCGTTCAGATTGAGCGTCTTCAGCGACGGACACTGCGGCACGACTGCCGCGAGCGACGCCACCCCCGCGTCTCCAAAGTCCTGATGCGACAGATGGAGGAGCTCGAGCGAAGAGCACTGCGGAAGCGCGGCGGCCAAGATGGCAACTTTGTCGTCGTCGAGCCCGGCTGCCTCCAAGTGTAAAGTTGTCAGCTGCGGAAGAAGTGACGCAAGGCGTGTCACGTCGGTGCCCGAGAGCTGGATGCCAAAGAGGTGGCATTGCCGAAGCGAGCGCAGATGACTTAGCGCGTCGACCAAGGCCAGTGTCTCGTTGGGAAACTCGTCGTCATAACCGGGGTCGAAGCCAAGCTGGATCTTTTGGAGCTGCGACGGCGCAATCGCCGCCGTGATCAAGGCCAAGTCGTCGAGCGAGAGACCTTGCAGCGAGAGCGACCGCAAGTGTGGTGGCAGCACCGGAATCTCACGGAAGAAGAGCTGCAAAAGCGGAGTACTTTTGATTTCGACGTCGACGAGCGTCTTGGACGCTGCGATACCCTTGCAAATCGCACTTGAATCGAACTCGTTTGGCAGCACGAAATCACCGTCGAGCGTCAGCGCCGCGATCGACCCGGTGCGCAGCCACTTGGCCAACGCGGTATCCGCTGCCTTGGGCCACACCGTGTGGACGTTCAAGACCTTGACGTCGCGAACACGCGTGGATGCGAGCGCTTGAAACATCGGCGAAAAGTTGTACTTGATATCGTACGCTTCGTACTGAAAGATCACCTCGCGCAGCGCCGGCAGCGTCGTGAGCGATGCGGCGACCTGCTTCGCACGCGGCCATTCACTGGCGTCGACGAACAGGAGTTCGAGGAGCTGGATGCGCTCGGGCCACCGCGATATCGCCTCTTGCAGCAGCTCCGAGGTCTCGATGGCGTGGACCTTGAGCTGCGTCTGAGGTTGCAGCGGGTACGATGGCGGCAGGTCGTTGCTGTCGAAAGCGACAGTTGGGTACAGCACCATGGCCTTGACGATCCAGCCACAAAGCTCTTCGTCATGGATCTCGTACGGCAGCTCCAGGTGCGGCCAGAGACGCACGTGACGGGGGTAGACCTTGTCGCCTGCCAGGACCTTAAGACGTCGCGTCTGCACCGCGCGGTAGAGCTGCCGGAGCGCGGCCAATGGCTCCGAGAGCCAATCTTCTGGTAGCGCCTGCAGGAAGGCAGCCATGTCCTTGGACGTCACGATGCACGTGGCGACGCGCTCGACAACCTCGGGCATGAGCACCAGCGTCATCTTGGTTCGCTTCGCCATTTCCAAGTTGAAGTGTCAAGTAGACAGTTTCAGAGATGATCCGGGAGAGGCGCCAAATTGGTGGCGCACGGAGGCCGACAGAGCTAATACAACATGCAAAAAAGCCAACTTCTACGTTCAATTTCCCATTCGGAGCTCCTGCCATCCTCGATTGCGTGGTGGAAGGCCCAGCCTTTTGCTTGGTGCAGTTGGAGCGACTGGTGTCAGTTGGAGCGACTGGTGTCGTCGTCCGTAGTAGATCGAGTTTTAAGGGTTTTCATCGAGCCTCTCAAAACAGATATAATCCATGCCTTTTGAGAGGTATTGCGTCCTGCGATACCCGCCCACAGCTCACCACGTACGACGCATTCCAGGTCCACAGTCCGCAGTATGGGTAGCACTCAGGGTAGCACTACCTGGTACTGCTATCGCTGGTGCGGAAGGCCTTTACGAAGCGTGTCGCCATGGGTCTCACTCGTACCACAAGCATCGTAGGGCGACTTCAAAAGCGCAAGTCGCCGCCTGCGCAGTCACGGCCCGCTGAGCGAATGAGGAGCAAGGAGGTTGCTCGTCTCTAGGTGAGTCTTTGTACTAGTAACAACGAAGATAGTAACACGTTTATAGATATGCAATGTGATGCCAGTTTAGCCCAAGAGCGTGGCGGGAACTCGAAACTTCAACCGCAAGTGGCACGGTCCGCCCTCTGATTGGCCAATCCGATATGACTTTGGATTCTTCAGCTTGCCCATGCACCGCAACTGGGCCAACGACGACGACGACGCCGACGGCGCGTGGATGGACGAGGAGCCGACGACGTACTCGCCCTACTACGCGTCGACGCCGTACGCCCCGCCGCCACTGCCGCCGCTGGGCGTTGACGCCTGGTCCGAGGCCGAAGCCGTCGCCGAGATCCACGCCGCCATTGGCGACTGGCAGCGGCGCTTCGCCGTCAACGACGAGACTGACGATTATGTGCAGATGCGGCGCAAGCAAGATGCGTGGCAGGCCATCGCGGCCAAGGTCGACCACGTGTCCCGATACCTCGCCGCGCCGCCGCCCAAGCCATTGTCGGTGGCGTCGACGCCGCGCCACTCCGAGTCGGAGACACCAGAAGCCAACTGGGCAGGCCTCTGGTACCTTCTCGGTGACATGGAGGACGACGACCGTCGGCGCAGCTCCGAGTCGCGCATGCCGGGCGACGCATACGTCCTCTTGCAGATCTGGAGCTGTCTCGACAGCCGCGACTTTGCCAACGTCGCCGGCGTCTGCAGCGACTGGTTCCGCCTCGTGTACCACTCAAAGCTCGGGCAGCAGCGCTGGCAGCAAATCGTCAAGCGCCGCTGGAAGCACTTGGATTTTGAAAACGACCGCCATCTGCACGCGCTCTGTCCCGACTACGACTGGCGCAAGCGCTACATTGCGCTGCATCGGTACATTGAACCAAGACAATATTGCTGCTATTATTGCACTAGACTGGTCGGCAACTGGCGCCACGGACGCCACAACTCGCGCTCACGCCTCGTGCCAACGCCCGCCCCCGCCGTACGCTCGTTAGACATCGTCGTCCACCGGGTCTCATGATGACCATATGCACAGCGGTCGCTGGCTGTCCTGTCGCCCACGCACCTTGTTGTCGGCGATGCGCGAGGCCATGTGCGATACCTCAACATCGCCAGCAGCGACGACGATCCAGTCGTCGAGTACCGAGCCCACGGCTACAGCGTGAGCACGCTCGCGGTGCGCAGCTCGACGCTCGTCAGTGGCTCGATGGACGGTCTCTTGCTACTCCACGATACCGAGCGCATGGCATCGCTCGGTCGCCTGGATGGGCACTTAGACGCCGTGACAAGGTACGACCGTCCTACTCGCGACGTTGGAGATGCGATTGCATCTTAGCGCCGAGTTTGTGGCGTCGAGTCTGCTGCTCACAGCATCGATGGACGCGACTGTCCGGCTCTGGGACACGCGATCCGGGGCGCCGCCCGTGGTGTTTGAAGATGGATCGACCCAATTGGGCATTCGGCACGCGACGAGCTGCCCCGAAGCCCACACCTTTTTCACATTTGCTGCTGTAAACCGACAGCGCGAAGACGACTCGGATGAAGAAGCTCATGGCGCATTAGGACGGTGTCGCCAGCGTGTGGGACCTTCGCCGTGCAACCACGCCGCTCCGCGTCCTGCGCGACCCTATTCCTGGCGTCGCCTCGTGCTGGCTCTCGCCTCGGGTGCGCTACAAACTAGAGCTATGTGCCAACGCCTTGGCTCGTAGACCTGTGTCGTGCTCGACGCGGCCGGCAACTGCACGTGGCTCAAGAATGGCAAGGTGAGCGGATCGTACGCCGGCAACGGCAGTCGTCCACTCGGTGTCTATACGACCGACCTCGACCCGTCGGTGTTGGTCATCGCCACTTCGGACGGCGTTCAGGTCTGTGGCGATGCCACGTCATCGAGCACGATCGCGGCGTTGTACAGTGTGCCGCTGTCGCTGCGCTGCGTCAGCGCCGACCGCACGTCGCTATATGGCATTGACGTGGCCCACCAACTGCACCAACTCGCTTTTGCCCCGTAACCCTAGCCCGTTACGCTGAACACCTAGCCCGCTTCGGCTCGACCAACCAACGCCTTGTCCTTGTACTAGATAGATACTTGGTGTTTCGAATAACTTTGCATCCGAAGCGACTCGTCATCCCCTTCTGCGCGTGTTTCTTGGTTCTCTCGACTCGAGTCAGCCTCGGGCAGCCCGCAGGACAACTCGTCCACACATTCTCTGCGCCACAAGGTCGCATCGACGGCGCCGCCTATTGATATATAGCGAGTACTATTGACGATGATTAGCTAATGTTGCCCGTGCCGCCCGCCGACTCGGGGCAGCGGTAGTCCTCTGGCATCGCGTAGCGCTGGAGCTTGTTGAAGGCAAATTGGCGCTTGCCCGTGTTCTTGAGCGCATTCTCAATGCGTACACCGTGCGTGCGCATGACGGCGACCGTCGACGCCACCTTGTACGCTGGGAGACCGTGGAAGCGGTGCAGAATTCGGACTTGCTCGAGCGTCACCGACATGGCCGTGCGATCTTTTGCGCTCTTGCAAATCGTGACGCGACCGCCGCCGAGGCCGCGGCAGAGGTCCGACGACTTGGTGAGGATGTCCGGACGCTTGGTCTTGACAAGGCTGCTCGCCGACTCTTCGATCGCGAGACGCAGCGTTTGCAGCTGCCGCGTAATCTCAGTCTCTGAGAGCCCGTCGCCGTCACTGCCCTTGCGCTTGGCTGCCCGTTGCAGCGACCACGACTAGACAATAGTGAGCCTCATACGACACTTTTGCTAGGAATCGAAAACGTACCTGGTGCGAGCGCATGTACTGGCTGCAAAACTCTTCGAGGGGCTTGAGGTTGCGGAGGTTGATCGCGTCCTGGAGCTCAGTCTTGGCGCGCTCGGTGCTGTTGGCGATCGATTGCATTTCGTTGATGCCTTGCGTGAAGAGGAGCGGCGTGACCGGGATCTCACCGCCGTCCAGGAGGCGGCCGGGCAGCGGCGTGTCGGTGCAGTTGACGTGGACGCTCACAATGTACTTGATGTTGGAGCTGCTCAGACTCTTGGGCTTCTCCGCCACTTGGACCTTGACAACGACGTCGTCGTTCATACTGTGGTCGCTGCTCGAATGCAAGTCCTTGATCGTGAGCCGCTTCCGGAACGAGAACCGACCGGACGGCTTGTCCCGAACGTCCAAGAGCACAAACGCGACCGTCGAGAGGCGCTCGACGGCGGCGGCCATGTCCTCGAGCATCCCAATCTCATTGCCGTGCGTCGACAAGAGCGACTCGACCTGAAAGAGGAACCCAATCCGGCTGAGCTGGTTGAGAATCGACTCGCCTTTCTGCATGTCGGGGCTCTGCAACGCGAGCTCAATCTTGCGCACAAAGCTCGCGACGAGCGCCGAGAGCGCCTGCGAAAAGCACACGTCCATGCGCAGCTTGACGTCCCACTTGAGGTCGTCAAGCGCGCGCACTTCGTCCGACCAGCGCGGGCCGTCGCTCTCGGCGACTTGCGCTTGGAGCTTGAGCACCTTGTTGACCATGGACGTCAGACCGCCCGACTTGAACTTGTAGCAGTGCGCCGCCATCGCACCGACGGTCGTAAACTCGTAGATCGACACGTCCCGGGACGACTTGCGCTTCTCTTCGTTCACAAAGGCGTTCGTGGGGCCGACGAGGTAGTCTTCAACGTGCAAGTTGATCGGGACAAACTTGAGGTCCTGCGACTTCTTTTCGACGCTGGCCTTGAAGTACCGCTTTTGGTTGTCGCGCTGCACGAGCAGTTGAATGTTCTTGCGCAAATGCGAGAGGTACTCTTTCCGGCGCTCGAGCCGGTCTTCGAGCCACATGCGGACGACCGTTGCGTCTCCCTCGTCTTGGATCGTCTGCAGAATCTGGTTGTAGAACCCGCCGTCCTTTGTCGGCTTCTTCTGGCTCAAGAAGGCCGCCACGTCTTTCGAGGCAACCTCGACGTCGTCCGCGCGCTCGGCCGCCAGTAAATCGAGGAGCTGCCGAGGAATGTTGTTGGCAAACCGGCTCTCCTTGAGCTCCTCGACGACGAGGCCACCGTCCCCAACCTCGGCTTCGTACTGGAAGTACCGGATGATGTTACCCATGTTCTGGTGCGACGGCTCGTCGCCTGCACTGGCCTCGCCCATCGAGACGGTCGTGACGCTGAGCTTTGTGTCGTGGTACAGCTTGGGGTTGACGTACGCAAACGCGGACGACGGCTTGCGTACGACCAGCTCGTGGCATGTGACGTCATGCGCGTCTGCGACGCTCACCACGAGCGCTTGCCCATGCGACGCCGCGTCCATGACGGCCTGCGGCGTCGTGACAAACTCGAGGATCGGGGGGAGCGTCACTGCTTCGTCATCGTCGTCGTCGTCATCGTCGTCTTCGCTCGGCAGCGACGCGTGGAGAAGGAACCGGACAAGCGTGTTGGGCGCAAGGCCAGCGACCGGAATTGAGAGCACAGCGACGAACGGGACGTTGCTCATGCCCAACGTCGAGCTCCGGAACTGGTCGGCATCCCCGGGAATCGCCTCCGTGAGGCGCTCCGTCTCGCCCACGGGCTTCCACTGTGCGTCCTTGGTCAGCGTATGCAGCAGCACTTCGCGGTTGTTCTGCTCGCCACGGTGGGCCGTCCGGAGCGTGCAATAGGAGAGCGACATGTAGCATACGCTCGGGAGCGCGCCTTCGGGTACCTTGAGCTTGACAATCACGTGGAGCTTGTTGGACGCATCTTCGAGGAACGTGCCGGCGCGCTCGACGTACCGCCGGCCGTGATCGCGGTGCGACTTGAAGACGTTGAGGTCGCCGACGGCTTCCGACTCTGGCGTGTCGAGCGACCCGAGGTTCGTGCTCCGGTAGGCGTCCTTGGGCGCCGAGAGGACTGCAATCTCGTCGAGCATGTCGTCTTCGCGCTTGGGGTCGTAGTGCAGAAAGAGCAGAAGGAGCGGCGGGCCAATTTGCGGCAGCCAGATCGTAAAGAGGTACCACACAAAGGTCGAGACGCGCTGGTCGTTGGTCGACGGCCCCGGCGTTTTGCCAAAGTCCTTGAAATCGCGCTCGATCGGCTTGGCGACAATGTACGACGCAATGTAGATGATGTCCGAGATGATGAAGATGACGACCGTGCTCGCAATGATGCAGTAGAAGATCGTGAGCGACTTGCGCATATTCATGCGGTCGTCGACGGGCTGCGCTTCCGAGAGCATGAGCGACCGGCCGCGGCACATGACGGCGCCGCCCAGCAGCACCAAAAAGAGCGTAAAGACCATGAACCCCAGGGCTAGGAGGACGTAGTAGCCGTTCATGCTGCACATGGCGAGCGAGTCGAGCACTTGGTAGCCGTTGGCGGGCGGCGGCGACGACGCATCGAGCAGCGCACTGTAGCGCAAGGCGCCCGTGACATCTTTGGTGTACACGCACTCGAGCTGGCCGCTAAAGACGACGAGGCAGCCGAGGAGGCCACCGAGAAGCACCATGTTGATCGCTATGTACATGAAGACGACCGGCGACTTGAACGTGAGCTTCCGGAAGAGCTGCAGGCGAAGCACGCTCGCCCTAGCCCCATCGACAGTGAGACGACGAGATATAGACGCTGCGACATACCAGTGGAAGCAGAGCGAGACGATCATGACAGTCGTAAAGAGGTACTGGCCCGCGGTCAAGTAGACAAAGATCGACGACGGGCGGAACAGCCACAGAAAGTACGCCGAGAACGAGCAGACGTAGGCGAGGACGACCGATATCGACACGAGGTCTGTCCACACGGTCGAGCTTGTAAACGCAAGGCCGTGCTATGGGAAATACCGTTGAAAATCACGAGGAGGATCGAAGCGCGTACCTTGTACACGATATAGAGCGAGATGACGAGGCAAATGCCAAAGAGGAGCGTCGACGCCAGGTCGTACGCGTTGTTGGCACCGTCAAAGGTCGCCTGCAGCACCGTAAAGTACTTGGCATCGCCCATCGTACTGCCGAGCACGTTGACCATGATGGTCGGGTTGACGTAGTAGGCGTTCATCTGCAGCACGCGGAGCGCATGGAGGGTCGCATTCGGGTTCGAGACGTTGAGAAACGTGAGCGTGAACGGGGTGTTCTGCGGCACGAGCGCCAGCTCGGGCGTCGTGAAGAACGTGCCGTTGAGCGCTCCCGTGAAGCGCGACGCGCCTGCGTATGTTACGCAGTTGTGCACGCCACTTGGCGTGCGGATGCGGACGCCGGCGAGCGACGTGAACGCGTCGTTGAAGTGCGAGAGCTCGAGCGCCGAGAGGAGCTGGAAGACCGTGTTGGGCGGCACGACGCCCGTGCTCGTCAGCGTTATGGTGACATCGGTCGACGAGCCAATGACGGTCGACGGCGCCGAGATGTTGCCCACGAGCGCAAGCGAGAGGCCGGTAAAGTTGCGGCCGATTTTGAATTTCGTTGGCTCGAGCAGCGTCTGCTTGATGTTGTTGTTGCCATTGCCGCTGCTAATGCACGAGGGACTGATGTTGGCGGCGAGGACCGAGATCGACCCAAAGCCCGTGTACGTCGCGTTGACATACGGACTGTTGAGGTTTGTCAGCGTCAGCGTCGACGGCCCGTCGGACGCAAAGGCCGCGATCGCTGCCGGCGAGAGCGGGATCGAGACCACGCTCGTGCCCACAGTCGCAAGCACTGGCGCGGTCGTGTCCTTGACGCTGTACGTGACGCGGTCCGAGTTGGTCCAGTTGAGCGTTGGCGTCACGGACGACGTGCGCGCGTAGTTGCCAAACGGGTACTCGATCGTCATCGTCACGTTGCCGAGGCCACACGTCTTGAGGTTGGCGAGGCTAAAGCCCTTGCTCTCGAGGAGGCTTTTCCAGCTCGGCACGGTGATCTGCACGTCGCAGTTGACGCACGTCGTCGCGAGCACGGGCGTCCATAGATAGTCGTCGGCCGCGACCGCCGCCGCTCGCAGCAGCAGCAGCAGCAAGCAGACGTGCCTTCGCAGCATGAGACGTCGTCCTACGCAAGGTACACGCATGAGGACGACCCGCCGACCTCGCAGCATGGGCGTACCTGATGAGGAACTTGGCGTGTTCAGCAGCGTAAGCTCACTCGGTCGGTCCGTGTCTTTTGCAGCGGCCAATCAGCGCCCGGGATAATGGGACTACTCTACCCGGCGTGCGACTGACTTGCGTTCGTTTACGTATTGTTCGAGGTATTATCTCTCAGAGGTTTCGAACGGCTTGCAACACGCAAAGTTCGATTCGATGCTTATGCGTTGCCACAGAGTATTAAAAAATACAGTATTTTGCAGCGTCGTGTTACATGGGCGTGAAATATTTCGTCGGTCGCGACAGGTGGGACCGGCGCCCAGCGACCGGCGCCGACCGCGCGGACGACCGTCGGCGTTCCGCCGTACCACGTGGCGACGCACGCCATTACCGCTGCGACCGTGGCGCTGAACCGACGCCGGCGACGACGTTGCATGGCCACGCAGGAGATACAGGCCACATCACCAAAGAGCAAGAGCCACAGAGCACCACCGCGCATTACAACTCACTTAGGCTTCATATGTACACTATCGAAAAAGTCCTAGGCTGTAGAAGAGGCAGGCGATGGCGAGCAACAGCGGCGAGAGGCGCGCCGTCGCGGCGACGCTCTTCGTAGTGCTTGTCACGGGCAGCGCGAGGCCGTCGTAGAAAGCAGGCACGTTGCTAGCAAACGCGGTGAGCGCCGCGTGGGCTTCGCGGCAGCGCAGGGCAATCGTGCTTGCGGGTACGATAAAGTCGTCGCCATGGAGCTCAAACGTAATCGCGGCCTTTTGGTATGTGCGAAAGATGTAGTCCTGGAACGTGCCGTAGGACAAGTAGAGGTACCACTCGGGCTTGGCGTCGTAGGCGGTGCCAGTGGCATTGGCGACCGCGGCCTGGACTGTTTTGCCAAGCGCGTCGTAGCGCGAGGCGTAGGGCGCCGGCAGCGTCTCGTTGCTGTCGCCGTACGGGGTCAAGACCATGCCGGCATACGAGTGCATGTCGAGGTAGCCGACGATCTCCGTATGGGCTTGGAACCAAGTGTGGAGCCCGAGCACTTCGGGCTCGCTAAATGGCGCCGTGCCCGGGTACGTCAAGTCAAACTTGGTCACATTGTCGAGATTGAACTTGTCGAGTGGGCCCCAATTCCGGTTGAGGTCGACCCCGGCCTCGGCTTGGTTGGGAATGCTCGGAAAGTTCACGGGCACCGGCCGCATGTTCTTGCGCCGGTACCGCTCGGGCGTCGTCCACGTCTGTTGGAACCCGTCGACGTTGACAATGGGCACCATATACCACGTGTAGGGCGTCGTCGACGTCTTGCTGACAATAGCGTCGAGTAGGATCGCGGCATGGTAGACGACCGCCATGCTGCTCACCCACTCACGCGCATGCAGGAGGCCCTGCACGTACATGGCGTGGGGAGAGGCGCCCGGCGGCGACAGCTTGTACCCAACGATCGGCCGACCCAAGTACGACGTGGCGACCTCGGACTTGGTCACGACGTTCTTGGCCACGCGGGCGGCCATTGCATCCATGAAGGCGATCGTCTCCGACTCGTTCCGGAAGCACGAGAAGAAGGCGTTGGTCGCAAAGGCCCCGGGCGTCAGCGACGCTATCGGGCTGGCGACACTTGATTGGCACGCTAGCGCCGCGTCGACGTCGTCATTGGTCAGATAGGACGCAGCGAGCTGCGTGACAAGGAGGAAGAGACCGAGTACGCGCTGCGAGAGCATCGTGAAGAATTGTGCGCAAATGGCAAAGACAGGCAAACGATGACGGACTTATAAGCCGTAAAAATGACATTACCAACCCTGCAAAGTGGAAAAATACGAGAAAAATACGATACAGATGCGTGGGATTGGTGCGAAGCTTGCGCGATGTGCGAAAGGTCCGGCATCATGGTCACAGCCATCGCGTACGCGCAGCTGCATGGATGATGCTAGTCTTCCTTCCCGCTAGTATTGGTGTGCCGGTGACGCGGCACGGACGGCGGACTGGGCCGTCGCTTGGTGCTGGCTTAACTCGACCAGGCGTGCAAATATACGCGAGTTTCCCGTAATTTAAACCATCTGGGTCGGATTTGGTGAACTTCAACTTCCGACGGCGTGGTACACTCGCCACGGATCGTCCCATCGCCAACGACGATGGTACACCAAGTGTATCCAGTGACTCAGCGTGCCGAATGAATTGTGTTCATAACACAAACTGTTCTACTAGTAGCTATGGTTTTTGGGCTAAACTCGAGATTCAAAATCTTATTTTGAAAATCGAGTTTGCACCGAACAGAGCTGCGCGAACCATTGGCGCACTTGGATCCTGAACCGGCGCCATGGCGATTCGCAAGCTCAAGGCGCGGGGCATCGGCCGCTTCGAGCTCTTGAGCTGGCTCAACGAGTTTTTGGAGACCGACTACACCAAGGTCGTTTTCATTGCTCATTTTGTGCTTTGTGCTCACGACACGCAAAGATCGAGCATCTCGCCGACGGCATTGCGTACTGTCAGGTGTTTGACGTGGTCTTCCCCGGCAAAGTCGCGCTGCACCTTGTCAACTTTCACGCGACGTACGAGCCCGAGTTTGAGCGCAATTTCGGGATTCTCAAAAAAGCGTTTGACGCGTGCCAAGTGCGCAAGGTAGTCTCGCACAGTTCACGACATATTGGACACTGGAATTGTAGGAAATCCCGATGAAAAAACTCGTGCGCGGTATCTTCCACGAACACTTTGATTTTCTCAACTGGATCCACGACTATGTCCATCGCAACTGCCCGGACGCGGCCCGCGGCTACCATGCGTACGCGCGGCGCGAAGAAATTTTGAGTGCGCAGCCCAAGGCGGACGTGAACGTGAACCTCGTGCCCCGCTTCAGCATGCGCAACGTAGGACCCACGTACAGAGGTATCGACGAGTGGCGGTTCGTAGGGTTTGTTCCAGTCGGCAGGTCCCAGTTTTCCGGACGCCATTTCGACAGAGTCCCACGACGACCATACTATTGAAAACTCAACGAGCAACAACAATGACGCGCCACCGCCCGTGCGCTCAATGACGGACGCGCAAGTCGCCATCGCCAGCCTCCGCAACGCACTGCACGCAAAATCGACGACCAAACGACCGAGCTTGCGCAGCGCCAAAAAGCCTCTCGAGCCAGCGCCGTGGTCAGGCCCGCTCCAGCGACTGGTACACGCAGCGACCTATGCATCTTAGGTGCTTCAAGAGGGTGTAGAACATCGCGTTGGAGGCCGAGCTCCATGGCCGAATTCAAATCCTGGTGCGTGTTCTTGCGTGGTGTTAGCAAGTGGGCGATGACGGCCGGTAGGACAACGACCGGCGGGACATTGCGTCCCTCCTCGCTGAGCGCAATGAGCTGTACGAGTGTTTACGCGACATTGATGTACACGGTGTTCACATGGACGACTTTTACATGACATTATTGTATGCTTGTAGAACGCGTTACGTACGGACGACACCGACATCGGAGCCATTTTGAGTGCGCCACTGCCGCCGTGGCCCCTCGCGACGACCGAGCTTGAGGCGTAGGAGAATGGATGGCATGCCGCCAGATCTGGGTCCTGGGTGGACATGCACGTAATTGAAGTCACACGACCTTACAATATTGTACCGCACAACGTGTAGCCATGACAACGTCGCGCAACAATCCCGCGCAATATTATCAGAGTATCAACTTGATATCAAGGCGAGGCGTGCTGTCGTCATGAAGCCAGACGTCGTTTTCATTCAATAGGACAACACTTGTGTGCTTGGTGCAAGAGGAATGTCATATCGGTGGGCTTGGCTCTCCCGGCGACCTAGTGTCAACAGTGCACAAACATGTCATCGACGGCTGTGTATCCAATTCACATCTACAATGTGTACATCCACAAGATTATCCCCGCCACCAACAACCTCGCTATACCGAGCTACGAGTACTAGCGACTACGTCCGTGGTCCCCTCTGTGGTTATCTCTCAAAGTCCATGTCACCTTCGCACAGCGTTGTTGCACGGGGTTGTTGGCAGCAGCTTGATACATTTCCATTGTATCAAGCTGCCCATCCTCTGCCGACGAAATGAGAAATCCAGCGGACAAGCTCGCTGAATACTATCCTGTTGACTCTCAACTCTGCCACTCCAGTCAACCAGCCTCCAGCAACAACCTCGTGCAAAAAGCTCGGGCCGCTGCCACGCTCATTTTCAAATACCCTCCGCGCCATCATCATGGGTGCCAAGCAGTCGCTGCAAGAGTTTCAAGCCATTCCGCTCGTGCCGACCAAGCTCGGCGGGGTACCCACTACGTGTCGACAGAGACCGCCACGTTTGTCAACGCCCCGCAAGGCCTTGTCAACGCCGTGACGGGCGGTACAGAGCTCGGCCTGCGTGTGTCGAGCGGTCTCTTGTCGTCGTCCGCGCAGCTGGTGAGCGACAATGGCCGTGAGGTTTTGGCCACTATCAAGAAAGCACTCGTGGCCCTCCGCGCCACGTACCACGTCTACGCTGGCGAGTCCAAGACGGAGCTGCTCAAGCTTGTCGTGCGCAAGAGTTACTTTGGGTCGACGTACACGTGCGACGTCTCTGGCAGCGGCGGTCGCTACACGCTCGTGTGCAAAGGCTCGTGGTCCGAACGCATGCTCATCACGTGCAACGAGAACGTTGTTGCCAAGATCCGCCCGCCGCCGACCGGCACCTGCACGTACCTCGACGTCGCGCCCGGTGTCGACGCCGCGGTGCTGCTGCTCGTTCAGCATATCGCTGTCGAGTGCGATCGATCCTCGAGTTCGTGTCTTGAGACCGCTCTTATCGCCCAAGTCTAAGGCAAACAAAGTGTATTCCATTCGTCTATCAGGTTTTCTCACACATCTTGTCTGCAGTCTGATGTAGATAGATAGATAGATAGATAGATAGATAGATAGATACTGGTATGAGCAGCCTCGATCGAACAGGACTGCTCAGCTGGACCACTCTTTGGCTCAACCGAAACAAGGCCGGCTTTGATTTCACTGGTACCTATCTCACTTCAGGTGCTCATGAACCATACTCGCCCCTTTACACTACTCCGATGAGAATATGTTGTATCCCATGGCGCAGTATAGCAACGACCTATAACTCAGAATCTCGACTCGAATCTTTGAGTTGGATGACGGGCGCCCGTATCGCGAGGTCGCTGGGGCCATTTCCCACCGCGTGCGTATCGTTGTGTGTGACGCAAAGACTCAATCCAACAGCGAAACTCAACGCCACTTACAAAGTCGACGATTCATATTGAGCTTTAAATGCGAGCTTGAATGTACTCGGCAATCGTATCGAGGTAGAAATGCCAGTACTTTTCTTCTTCCTGAAGCAAGTTGTGCTGGCCGTCGGGAATGCGGACAAACTGCTTGTCCGTGGCGCCCGACGTGGCAAAGAAGCTACGAAAACCATGAGCATTTGAGCAACAGCGACGCACCCACCGCTCCGAGCCGGCAATGTCGCAGACGCGGTCGGCCGTGCCGTGGATGAGCATATGCGGCACCGTGATCTCGTGCAGCTTGTCGCCGATCGCGAGCGACGCGTTCAGCATCGCGTACGCCGTGCCAATGCGCAGCCGGCCCTGGTAAAAGTTGGGGTCCACGAGCTTGGAGTGGTGCACGAGCGCTTCCTGCGACGGCGAGTTGCTATGTGCACTATGGGGCTTGAGCAGCGGCAGCTTGGGCGCAAGAGAAAGCAGGACGCGGCCCACAAGCTCGACAATCTTGGGCGGCAGCACGTTTTTCGAAATCTCGACCGGCGGCGCATGGAAGATGTAGCTTTCGACGAGCCCCGGCGGCATCTTCAAGGTCGCATGCAGGAGCGTGAGACCGCCCATGGACCTAGTATGCAGAACCCCATGAGCAGGATACTACGGTGCAGAGAGAGACGCCGTACGTGCCAAGGACGAAGAGCTTGAGGTCCGGGAACTTGGCCTTGGTGGCCTGCACGAACGCGACAGCGTCCTCCGCAAGCGTCTCGATGCTCTCGATGTAGCCATGGCGGCCGCAGCTGCGGCCAAAGCCACGAAAGTCCATCATGCCAGCAATCCAGCCGTCACGGAGGCTGCGGTTGTAAAACTCGGTGATGCGGCCGCTGTGCGAGTTGAGGCCGTGGAGGTACACGATGACGCCCTTGGGCGACTCCGTGGTCGGGTAGTAGTACTTGGTGTGCACCTTCATCGGCTCGGACGACGACGAGCTCGGCACGGGGAGGTCGATGACCTCAAACTTGTACTTGGCCTGGAGCGCGAGCTCTTCGACGAGCAGCGGCTCTGCACGGCGGTCCTCGGCAAGCTCGTCGCCGGGCGCGAAGCTCAGTCGGAGGGCAGTAGCGCCGACGATGGCCGTGGCGGCCGCGGCCGCGCCAACAAGGTTCAACGTTGTCGCCATCTTCAATCCTGTGGCGAAATGCAAGTGGGCGCCGTCAACGAAACACCTCTCACACCCCGTGTCACATACGCAACCGGTTGCCGTAGCCGGTTATGCCAATCGGTTTGGCATCCGAATCGTCGCGTACTTTTTGTAACCGGCTAGACCATGAAAGACCGGTTCGTGTTGAAGGTGGCCCGACCTTCAACGAAGGAAATCGAGGAAGCAGATGGAGGGCGCAAGGTCGGTGGCGTCGGACCAGCCGCGTGCGAGGCGCGTGGACACACCGAATCCGAGGCCGCGACGGAACTTCAGCGTTCCTCAAACGACGTCGACCACCCAATGCGCGCGACAATGTATGGGGATTGCAGCCGCCCATCCCGTTCGGCCAACACTCTTGGGCGCACATCAGGATACGTCAAGCTACTGCATCCATCCACAGCGCCCTGCTAGCTGCGTTGGCCACGAGCTGCGGTCGCCGCTGCAACAGCTGCGCGAGCCAGACTTGGCTATGGGCTCTATAGGCGGTGGATTGCTAATGGTCACACAAGCGAGGTGGCGCCGCCCCGCCCAACACCCGGCTCGCGCTGGACCTGGGCTGACGCACGGCTGTCGACAGGCGACAGGCGCCGGCGTCGACGCATGTGCCATCATTGGGCGGCGGGGCCAGCGCGCGGTCGCCTCGTCACGGCTTCGCCTTTGGCAACCCGAATCACGCTGGAAAATGACTTCGCCGGTGCCTCAAAGGGCGTCGTTGGCAGCATAAACCACGTGCGCGCTTTGACTTTGAGTTTGAGGAAACTTCGGGTCGTTCGCTTCGAGGACTGCATAATAAAATACAATGTTTCAACTTGGATCGCCATATCTTTTATTCGCTTTGCACTGAATGCGACGATGCTTTTTGGTTGTATTTTAATGGCATGTGGACGCCGGATGAAACTTCGGCGCGCGCCGATTGGCTGCAGGCACCGATTTTTACCGCCGGAATGCGTTTGGATTGGCCAAAATGAACGGGCTGGCTTCGAGAATCGCCGTTCGCGTGCGTTCGGTATGGCTTGGACCACTCAATTGGCAAAATGGACTTCAAAGTCGACGAGGACTGGGAAGAGTGGACGCCCGAGAAGGGCTCGTTCGTGCATCACATGCTCGCCGGGTCGGCCGCCGGCGTCGTCGAGCACGTCTCCATCTTCCCCATCGACACGATCAAGGTACGCCATCCATGGACGCTTCCTTCCTCTCAATCTCGTCGTGGCGCAGACGCACATGCAATGCCAGCGCTGCCCGGTCAACTCGAACGCGATCCGCATGAATGCGTTCCAGACAGCGAAGCGCCTCGTGGCCGAAGATGGCCCGCTGCGCCTCTTCCGTGGCGTCAGCACGATGCTCGGCGCAAGCCTGCCCGCCCATGCGCTCTACTTTTCCGTCTTTGAAGCGTGCAAAAAGTCGTTTGGCGCCGACGCTGCCGAGCTCACGCCGATCGAGTCGGGTACGCGCCGCTTGGTGCGCGCCGGACTGCTCATGTGGTAGCCTGCATTAGGGGCGGCCGGTGTCATTGCCACCATCACGCACGACCTCATCATGACGCCGATGGACGTACGTGTCGATGTTGATGTTCGCAGCAGCCCGATGGCTCACTGGCGCACCGTAGGTCATCAAGCAGCGCCTACAATTGGGCTATTACTCGGGCGTCGTCAACTGCATGCAGACGGTACGCTCCTTCTCTGCGTGGTCAGCCATGATGTGCTCATGGTGCATGCGCAGATGATCCGGCAAGAAGGCCTTCGGGCGTTGTACATTAGCTTTCCCACTACGTTCTTCATGAACCTTCCCTACAGGTAGAGCGCCCGAGGTCGATTGGTCTCTCATGGCATGTAGCATGATCATGGTGTCGACGAACGAGTCGATCAAGAAGGTCCTCAACCCGTCAGGCGACATCAACGTTGGCGCCTACGTCCTCTCGGGTGCCATTGCCGGTGCTGTGGTATGCTGCTTTCGCTGCCAGGTGCAAGGATATTGACCGGCGCCAATAGGCTGGCGCCTTGACCAACCCGCTGGACGTGGCCAAGACGAGATTACAGACACAGATGCTGTCGTTCGACCAGCCGTCGACGGTACACGACTTGGCGGCGTCCACGACGATGACTCTGAACTAGATGCGCGGGTGCCCACAGAAGCTCAAAGGCCTCTCGCTCGACAAGCCGTCGTCGTGCCGGGTCAACGAACCCCAGATCCACGTACGACGACCAAATTCGTATCTTGAAATAGGCGATCTCATGCGCGATATGACACGATAGCATAGTAGCAACGGACACCCGCGTCTGCAGTACCGGGGTCTCATGGACGCGATGCTGCAGATCTACAAGCAGGAAGGCGTCAAGGCGTTCTTCCGTGGCGTTGGCCCCCGCGTCTGCGTCCACGCGCCGTCGGTGGCCGTGTCCTGGACGACCTTTGAAGTGCTCAAGAACGTCATCGCGAGCGACGATCAGTAGCCACATTCCTGACGTACTACTCAATCGTGTATGTTGTGTACCTCTGGCGGACATGTGCGCAGCGAGGCGGCGTGCATCGCACTCGGCGACGGCTCTCAGATCTCAGATGGAGCTCACTGAAAAGACCATCAATCTGTAACGAGAGTGATGGTAATGATCTAACAAGGGGTCGATACGATCAGCTACTAGAGCCAAAAACAGGAGGTGACAAAGTTGCAGTCGCAGTCGGTTGCTGCTGAACACTACACCTCGGACGCCCACATGCTGTCCAAGGCCGTTCTGAACCTCCAGTGGACACAAATGAGTTACCGGTAGGGTCTCACCTTGATCAATGAGCTGCAGATTGTGCCATCTGAGCTGCGTTCGAGTGAACGCCGTGGCACCGCCGTTGGTTGTACGATTGCGTCGCCTTGGAGTAGTAGCAACTCAAAGATGACCTCGCGCCGAAGAGGTAGGTGGTGGTGGCTTGTTATTGCTTGCACCTAGCTCCATCGAAGCTCGCAATCGACGAAAATGAGAATTTTGCCCGTGCCCCACGGGTCCTCGCCCAGTCTCGTCGTACGTGGATAGTTGATGTGTAATATTGAGTTCCACTGTGTAGTTGTCTACATTTGCGTGCTCCATCAACAAGAAGGACCACGTTATTGTCGATTGAAGAAGAATGTTGGATGCTCTCGGGAAGATCTGCGTCAAAGTGCAATGTGTGCCGATCGGTGCGACATGCCAGAGAAGCGGATTCAGATTGGTCCATTTTGCTTCGGTTCTTCGGTTAGTCGAAGTATGGCGAAAGTGCACGCTTCACTTCGAGATGGCCGCGCCGACACATATCATTGCGCAACGAAAATGACGGACTCAACGTCGACCTCTCCTCTCGTCCAAATGACGCAGCAAACCAAGGACGAGCTGGCGCGCTTCGCCACGGCAACCGCTGTCTCGTGCACCTTGGCGACGGCCCTCTTCCCGCTCGACATGCTCAAGGTCCATAGCTTCCACGATGCGCATCGCATCTCACACGTACTAGACCCACCAGCAGAGCCACCGTGTCGCTGCGCCCAAGACATTTCTGCGCTTGGTTACGACGCCAGGCCTCTTGCGCGGGCTGAGCCCGGCCCTCACAGGACTGGTCTCGAGCGCCGCGATCGCAGTCGGGTCCGAGCACCTCCAAAAGCAAACGGCGACGCCCGAGAACGGCGCCGTTCCTAGCGTGGAAAACATGCAATTTACGACTGCTGTCATGGTCTTGGGCTGCCTCGCGAACGAAGTGGTGATGGCGCCGACCGAGGTACGTCCAGCTCTTCTTTTGACGTCACTCAAGATATCTGTAGGTCGTCAAGCAGCGCCTGCAGCTCGGACACTACACCGGCCCCGTCGACTGCGCGCGCTCGGTATGAGTTGCCACTGCGTCGTGCATCCCACATGCCTGTAGGTATTTCGGCACGAAGGACTCCGAGGCTTCTTTCGCAGCCTCCCGACGGGGCTGGCCTTGACGTCCTCCTACACGTACTACATGAGCTTGCACTTGGGACTACCCGTGAGAACTCATCGTATGTAGCGTGATCGGCGGGGCCACGGCGCTGGCGGTTGCCGACTACATGCCCAGCTTTCTGGAGGAAGAGGACAAGGTGTTTGCGATCGTGGCCTGCACCAGCATCGCCGTACGTCCCACCGTTGCCGACGGCTTTGGCACTAATAGTGTTGTTTCGGGTGCAGGCGAGTGCGCTCACGACCCCGCTCGACGTCATTCGCACGCGGCTCCAGACGCAAACGCTCTCAACGGTGCCGATGGCGAAGCAGCCTCTCGCTCTTCAGTACAAAGGGTTCTGGGACGCTGCGCGCCAGATTCATGCACGAGAAGGCGCGCGCGGCTTCCTCCGCGGGATTCTCCCCCGGGTCGGCTCGAATGCGCCCTTTATGGTGCTTACGGTCGCCATCCACATGGCTCTTGAGGCAAAGTAAAGCTATTTCTAGTCGAAAACATACTAGTCTACTGGGGTGCGCACCACTGCATCAATCTGTTGACCACGTTGTCTTTGCATGGAGTGACGCAGTACGATCTACAGTCCGGTGCCGACCGAGGCGAGGTCCATGACGGCGTTCGTGTCATGGCGGTCCGCTTCGGCAACAATGGTGTATCGCCGTCGGCCATAGTGAGGTCATCGTGAGCTTGTCCGACTGCTTTGCCGCCTGCGAGAGATATGATATGAAATCGAGTGAAATCTTTATCCACACTAAAGACGCGACCTACTAAGTGAGTCTTATATACTAAATGGGTGTTGAACGTCGGCTGCCAACAGCGCTTCAACGTGCTGGAGCTCATCGGCCGGCAGCACATCATGCCGTCCACCATCGGGATGCGCGTACGAGGTACGATTTACAGTCGTCGGTTGCGAGCTTGGACAAGTGATGCCTGGCTTGGTTGAGCTCGC